TTTGAATTTCATGTTAGGAAAGCGCGTGGCATTGTTTTCATTTAAGGTCAGTTTATTAAATTTAATGATGAAAGCTGTAAGAAGAATATCCCCCTAATAAAAGTATGGGTCTTTTGGTGTAACACTAAATAGGTTAGCACAAATAAGCAAAGAGTAACTTTGTTTATGTGTAAGCTATTTTATAAAGGACAAATTCTGTTCCATGAAAGTCCATGTGTCACATATAAAATTTTGTAGTTCTATCAATATTGAGTAAATTTGTGGGCGTGTCCAATTTTACTTTTCCAGTTTTACTGGAATGTATATTCACATTTGCTAATACTGAGGTAGTTTAAAGAACCTCAAATGCGGCTTAAATAGTATTGAGCACTGTCTTGCTACAGTTAATTGAGTCTAGATTCTACGAAAAATAAATGATAGTGGAAGTTGGGAAAAAAAAGAATATTCCCCTGAAAATTACTTTTGCTTAGGAAAGAAAGAAAATCAACACCCTCTCAGCATAGGCCCAGAGGCTCTGGCGGTCACACCCCTGTGCACAAGGGGACAGTCCCTTAGTGAAGTCACTCTCTGGGTCAGCAGGACTGGAGTCGGGATGATCCTCATTACCCTCCAGCTCCAAGTCACCCATTTCCTGGAACGAAGACTCTTCTGCCCCTGCATTCTTTCCAGCATCCTCCAAGAGCTGGATATCATGGGTCAAGATTCTAATATGATGTCTCAGATAGCTGTTTCCCACTTCATTTATTTTTTCCTGCGTGTTCTCCTTTCATTCATTTCTTATACATTTCCGAGAGTTCGGCATCAAACTTGGTCTTCCAACTTAGGAGATTTTCAGCTGTGACCGGAATGCCATAAAATAATTGCCCTTCAGCTTCTGCTTCTTCTTTTTTGCTTCTCTCGGGGCACAAGGACATTGTCACTGGATTCCACAGAAGTGTGTAACACAGCCCAGTGGCTCGTGGAGGAGAACCCTGCAGATGTGAAAGTCGGCGGACGGACACGGCAGTAAACGCTGGCACGACTGAAACCCAGCGCCCTGCAAGGAGGGACACTTAGTAACGGGAATAAAACAAACACACAAAATACATGACAAGACAGCACAGAAGTAAAAATGGAAGCAGTGAGATTTCAGAGGAGAGGAAAGATCAGAAAGGTTCCAGGTAGGAGCTGCAGTATGAGACAGGCAACAGGCCTTCAAGGATTTCAACAAATTTGGGGTTGGGAAGAGGGGTGGGAGGCATTGTTCCAGGCAGGGACAGTTTAGGCAAATGAGTTGGCTCCTTCGTAAAAAGTTGGTAGGGATTATAGTGAGTAGTTCAATTTTGCTTGAGAACCCGCTCTGTCTGTGTAAGGGTGAAGTGCAAGGTCAGGCTGCAGGCTGGAGAACTGATATGGAGATACGTCATTGGGCAAATGGCAGACTAAGTAGTTTGTACCTAATTTGACAGAGAACTACTGATAACTTTTTAAAAATAGGGTGGGTTTGTGATCTGGCCACTGCTTTAGAGAGATGGTTCTGGCAAGAACACAAGATGGACTGAAGGGAAAGCAAGTAAGCGGGAGACCAAAAGGGAGACTGCCAACAGAAGTCTAGGCTACAGGTCCTCAGTACCTGACCTAGCGCAGCGGCCAGGCAGACAGAGGGGACAGGCGGGAGAGACATTGTGTAGGAAGGAGCTGTACCTGTCTAACATAGTAGCCACATAGTAACACATGCGGCTATTTAAATCACATTAAAACTCATTTAAGTGAAGAGTTAAAATCCAGGTCCTCAGTCTTATTAGCCACATTTCAAGTGCTCGAAAGCCACACGTGACCTCTGCGTTGGACGATGCAGAACTCTTCTAGATTGCAGAAACCTAGAACATTTCCATCCTGGCAGCATGTTCTACTGGACAGTGCAGATCGCTATACTTTGCGGACTAACTGGGTACAGGGATGGGGAAGCCGGACTAAACTGAGGTTGGTGGCTGAGTAACTGAGAAAGGGAGTCCCCTGAACCAAAAAGGCGAAATCAGGAGGAGGAGGAGCCGGATTCAGGAGGACAGATGGCCTTTGGTTTCAAACACCAGGCAGAATAAAGTACCCACACACATGCTCAGGTGTCCAGGGTGAAAGGAGACAGTGGGTGAAGCAGAGCACCCCGTGGGCTCTCCCAACACTTGTAAAGGGGCCAAGCAGTATCTAGTTGGCTTATCCCCTCCTGCACCTAGTCTCTCCCCAACTCTTGCAGGCCCCCCACAGCTCTCCCAGACCAACACTCACATATAAACTGTGAGGAAGGCAGGAGCCCAGAGCAGTGCAGTGTTCCCAGCCCCAGGCGCTTGCGCGAGCCCTTTTTTCCCCCGCAGCTACCTTCACTTCCCCTCTCCCAACCGCCTCACTCACTCACCCTTCCCCGTGTGCCATCCTCGGAAAGTCCCCTTGCCTGCACGTATTGATCGCTTCCTCTTAAACTATTCTTTTCCACAGGGACCATGGGACCATGGGCTCCACTGCTTGCGGACTTGCCCTGTCTTCCTTCCCGGCTTAGATTCCAAGGTCTATCACTATTACCACTCCCTGCCACGTTCCCCTCCCCCTCTTATTGACCTTCATCAGCAAAACCCAGCTGAAAAACCACACCACCTTGCTGAGTATTCTCGCTTTAAACATAGGACCACCAACTCAGGAGGACCCTCAACGTTGCCCAGACTACGCCTCGCTAGTAACTCTTCCATTCTTCGAGGGCATCCTTTCTCTCCTTCTTCTATCTCCTCAAGTAGCCAATAGCCCACCTCCAATCACAGTTTTTTATTACCTTAAGGAAAACACATAGCCCAGATCTAACTCATCAAACCCAGCGAGGAGGCCGGCACATACAGTACAAGGCGGGAAAAGATGCGCTCTGTGTGTGTGTGTGTGTGTGTGTGTGTGTGTAGGATTGCTAAAAGGCACCACCACTCCTTTAGGTGGAACAATTAGACAAGGTGCCCCTTCTCGAGGTTGACATGGCCTCAGTTTGGTTGATATAACAGGGGCTGGATTTCAGTTCCCACCTGCCCCCCCGCTGCTCCACAGTAGCCTGAGCATGCCACCCACTGCACTACCTGATATACCTGCATTTGCACCCACAGACATTGCCTTCTCTCCAAAAATAGTGTGTGAACGTAGTGTCCTGGCTCCTGTCCTAGGTGAACCCTTTCATTTCTCTGCCAGGTCCAACTGTTTCTCCCCTACTTGAGGACAGCCTTTCTCCAGTGGTCTCTTCTATCTTTTGCCCCATCACTGTACCACCCTAGAGAACCATTCCAGCAGACCAACCCAAGGAAACATCTTCCACTTTAAAATACCCTCCCTTGATCCCAAGTGATCCCCTGGCTAATGCCTGGTTTTCAGCAGCTCCTCACAGCAACCGCTCCTCCAGAGCTCTTCAGGCCTGCTATAGGCACTTTCTCTTCCACACCTCCCATTCTCTTAACACAACCTAATCAGACTTTCTCCCCTTTGACCCCATTGAAACCGCTTCAGTCAAGGACAGCGGGCCACCTTCTTCAGGCCAAATCCAACCTACGCATTCTCAGATCTCTTCTTACTCATTTAATCAGTATTTGATAAGACGATCACTCTTCCCTTCCTGAGGCAATTCTTATCTCCTAACATTCCACCCTCTCCCGGTGCTGTCCTCCCTCCTCCTTTCTACTACACCTCTGAGTGTCGGCGTTCCCTTTAGTCCTTCTCCCTGAGCTGACCTCCCTCCTGAAGTGATTTTATGTAAACCTAAGGCTTAAAGAGTGTCTTTGCGCTGAAGAACCCCCAATTTCTATCTTCAGACTTATATCCAGTTGTTTACTCTTCATCTGCACTTGGATGTCTAACAAGCACCTTATGGAACATGGGTAACACGGAGCTCCTGACTTCTCTCCCCCCACACTTTCTCTCTGAGTCTTCCCCAGCTCATGAAATGGCACGCCATTAACCCATCCTTCAGGCCCTGAACCTAAGACTCATCCGTGATCTTTTTGTTCCGTCACACACTCTGCCAAAACCATTTCAGTTAGAAATGTGTCTGAACAGTCCCCTTCTCACCCCTTCCCTGCCCCCATCCTATTCCAATCTACCACAAACAGCCTCTTTACTGGTCTCCCTATTGTGTATTTTACACACATTAGCAAGAGTAACTTTTAAAAATGTGAATCAGATGCTGTCATCCCTCTACTCACCCTCCCATTGTTTTCTGTTGCTCTTATAAGGGCCCTGAAGGCTCCATAGGATCTGGCCACGTCCCCACGTCTCAGCCTACTACTTGCTCTCTGGCCAGGTGACTCCTCAGCCATGCTGGCCTTTTGTTGTTCCTGCAACAGGCCAGGCGCTTTCCCGCCTCTGACCTTAGGCTGATTTCCTTTCAGCTTGGAAAGGCTATCCTACCCTCCTTCCCCTGCCCCAGGTACTGGCTAGGCTCATTCCTGCATATCCTGCATATCATACCTGTGTGTGCTCAGAGGTCTTCCCTGAGTGGCAATACTGGTCAGCTATAAAGTCACCTCCTTCCCAGCTTTATTTCTTTCCACACCACTTATCACTACCTGGAATTTTGGTTCTTTGCCTGTCTCCTCTCAACCACCCCACTGGAAGGCAAGCTTCACTTGGCCGTTGCTTGCATATGGCTTTATCCCTTGCACCTAGAACAGTGCCTGGCACCTACTAGGTGTTCAGTTAGTACTTGTCCAACGACTGCATTCCCCCTCCAAGATTCTCCTCCTCCTGAATCTTTGGACCCTACCGCAATTCATTTCCGGACTTACGCACCGCCACACCCCATTCTCCGCAGAGCCGCGACTCCCCACACCTCCCCCAACGTCCTTAGCTGTCCCCACCCCTTCCTTCACGACCCCTTTAAGAGGACTCAGGGAAGCAGCGGGGAAGGCGGGGCCGAAACCTCGCCGACGCGGACTCGGAGGGGCGGGGCGGAACTAGGGGGTGGGGCCTGGGGCCTGCGTCTTGCGTGCGTGCGCGTTCTGGAGGCGCCGCCGCCGCCGCTCTCGAGGCCGCCGCCGCCGTCGCCGCGCAGAGCCGAAGCAGGAGCCACGGCCGAGAGGAGGGAGGAGGAGGAGGAGGAGGTGGAGGAGGCGCTGGACCGGGCGGGGTGAGTGAGGGGCGGGGAGCCGGAGCCACCCCAGAGGGAGCGGGGGGCTCGGGTCGTCCGAGCCGGGGTTGAGGCGACTCCTGTCGCCGGTCAGTCCCTTGGTTCCCCCTTCCTCCTCTGCGCTCCCTCGGTGTCCGGGGCGGCGGCCCGGGGGCCTGGCCGGCGGGAGGGGCCAGGGCTCGCGGAGGCCCGGCCGCCACCGCCAGGGCCAGAGCCAACCACGCCCGCGGACGGAGCCGGTCGACTGTGGCTGGGCCTGCGGGAGACGGACGGGAGGGGCCCGGGCCGGGTGTGGGAGAGAAAGAGGACATTGTGTCCCCCACCCTCCAACTCCCGGAGGTGTCATGGCACTAGCCCATTTCCCTCGCCATCTCCCCGGACGCAGTGCCCTCGCCCCTCGCTGCCTGAGAGATGTAGAAGATCGGACATCGCCGCTATTTTCCTTTCGTGTGTCCCCAGACTAGGGTCAGATTCTCCTTTAAACCCGGGTCTGCCTTTGGGGGCACGCGAAGAGGAGATGGGCGCGTTGGGTGAATTTTCTGCCCTCCCTCCGGTGCTAGCGAGGTGTGGGTAGACGAAGCGTTTCCCTGTGTTCGCTCGGTCAGGGTCCAGGGTCTCCCTTGCTTCCTTTATCCCCCGGTGCACAGGGCTGACATCTCTACGTCCCACTCCACCTCCCGGCCCCTTTCCCGCCCTCTCTTCCCCACGTCTCCGTAGCATGCCATGTGTTCGCCTGGTCGGCGCTGCTTTTTAGGGGTCTCTGCTTCCCTAAATTTTGTTAGGGACGAGATCCGTCTGATTCTCCTTTTCCTTCAAACTGGTGCTCGTAGGGGTGTCGTTTGCCCCCTCACTCAGGAAGTTAAGGGGCAGTGTCTTAAGCTGAATTGTGTAAATTATTGCTATGGGGAGAAGATGAGAGAAGACACTTGTGCTTGAAAAAGGGGGTCTTCTCACGGGGCTAACAACCAGAGTTTAGGGGACCTTTTGACTTGGGAAAAGAGCTCGCGTTGAGCGGTTAGGTGTTTCTTTCTGGGAGGGAGCATCGTTTTGTCGTAGCTTTGAAGGGAGGAGAGTGTAAGAAATGAAAGGGACCAGTAGGAGGGCAGGAGGTTAATGGGCCACGGCCTTACAGGTGGCCACAGTTTTCTGCTTCCTGAGTGTGGGAGGAGGATTCTTTCTGTTTCTAATCACAGTCAGAGTAAAGTCTCGGCTCTGCGCGTTCATGTGGGGCTCCTACCTTCAAAGCGTGCTGAAGGGCAGCCTCAGAAGGGGTGCTGCTGGAAACAGGATTTGGAAACTTTTCTTTTGGTTTCCTGTCAGTGTGTGGGGGTGGGCATGCATATGTGTAGTTTTTCTTTTCTTTTGATGTAATTGATATCTGCCGTATTTTGACATAAAAAACACTAAATCAGGCTTTGTGTTCCTGGCCCCGAGTTCCTTTGTGTCTTTATGATTTCCTATAACACTTTCTGTTTTGAAATCACATTTGCGTTGGTTGAAGTTCTTTTTTATTCTGGTGTTTCAGTGAATCTTGTTTCCTCTGTATTTTGAATTCTGTACTGCAAACTGTAATTAGGTGTAAGTTTTTGCAGATCACACGGTATCTGGTGCATGGTAGGCACTCAGTATTTCTTGAGTGAATTGAATGATTACAAAATGGGTCTAGGTATTACACATCTTCTATCCTTTTGACAGGTAGCGTACGTTTGAATGTTTCATTTCACTTCCTAGATATAAAATAGTAGTTCCTGACCTTTTCTAGGCCACTGAGATTTTTGAGACTATAATGAAATATATAGACTCTGCAGAAAGTAAATAGTAGACATTTATGTGCAAAATTTTTCATTCAGTTACAGGGACCCTCTGAAGCCAACCGTGGATACCTGTCTCAGAAGTACACTGGAGCCCCTATTATGCAATTCCATATGAAAGCTGTTCAAAAGCCTTTGTTCATTTTCTGTGTGTTCTCAGGAATAGCAGTCTTTACTCTTACAGATTAAACTTTGGGTCTTTGGGAACAAGATTTAAGAATGATTGTTATTGCAATTTTATGGGGCAAAGTTCTCTTTAATAGCTGTTACCAGTCATTGACAGTTACTGATGGCTTCCAAGGAAATCCGATTGCTAGAGTTGCTTTTGGAAGCTTAAAATCATAATCACGATGGACTTATGATTTTTATTGTACAAACTTCTTCCGGGCAATATGAACAGCATTTGAAAATAATCTCAAATGAAACTACTCAATTTTCCTGTTCTCTTTCAATCTTGTTTATATGCATGGTATTTCATGTAGTTAATCATTGTTGTATCAACATTCAGTGTTAATTCAACAAGTGCTTTTCGAATGTTGCTGGAATAAAGCAAAGTCCTTACTGTCATAGAGTTTATATTCTAATCAGGAGAAATGAGCCGTAACCACATTAAAAATATGTATCAGATTTTAAAAGCTATGCAGAAGAGTAAAGTAGGGAGAGGGGATAGAGAAACAGTGTCAGGGAAAGATAGGCAGGGAAGACTCGAGACTAGAGCAGAGACTGAAGGAAGTGAGGGATGTGTGCTTTTGGGGAAGAAGGTTACCGGCAGAGAACTGCAAGTGCAAGGATGTGTACTTTGCCCTTTTTTAGAACAACTAGGAGGCCAGTAAGCACGAGGGAAAGTGAGAGAGTTGGACTTGAGGTTAGAGAAGTAGCTGGGGCCACGGTCTGAGGCCTTGTAGGCTGGATGAAAACTTCACTGTGGATTTCACTATGAATGAGAGAGGCGCGATGGAGGGTTTTGAGTTGAAGAGAGACCTGTTCTGAGTTTATGAGAATCATTCTGGCTGTCGTGGAAATCAGCTTGGTGGAGACAGGGGGAGGCAAGAGTAGAAGCAGGAAGACCAATCAGGAGGTTAATCCTTATTTTAAATCTTTTTCAGTGCTTGCAAATTAGTCCATCTCCCTGCTGTTAGGCAAATAGGTAGGTAGTTAGTTTCCTTTTCTCCTATTAAAATAACAATGAAATGAACATTTTTGTGCATACAACTCTTTCTTTCTTTTGAAATCTTTCTTTGGGATTGATTTCCAGAAGTACTGCTGAATCCAAGTATGTGAATATGCTTGTGTTCTTGGTGTTGCATCTACGCATTCCTCTGGAGAGTAGGTTGTGCTAGTTAAAGAGGTAGCCACAGTTGTTGATCTTAAGTTTCATGGCAGTGACACCTGCATTGAGTATCATTATTTAATACTTTAAAAATAATGGGAGTTATAAAAAGAGATATTTTAGATTGTTAGGGTTAATTTTCCAGTGGCTCACATTTAGAGTTCATATATGTGTTATTAGCTAATTGTTGGGCAGAGAAAGATGAATCAAACATGGTCTGTGCCCTCAGAGATCTTTCCATTCTTATTTTATAACCTGATAGTTAAGTAACTTCAAATCTTGCCAGTGTTCATTGTTGTCCATGAACTTTATTCATATGTTGTTGATATCTCTTCTGTACGGTTGGCATTGCAGTCAAGCATTTTATTTTTCACAGCGATAATTTCTTTTTTCTTACAAAGAGATTTTTTAATGGTATCTGCAATTCGTTTAATTTCTGTTTGATATGTCTCTAGAATTTTACAACTATGACAGCCCCACATTTTGTTCTTTGTAATAACTTATGCAACTAGTACTTAGTTGAGGATTCTCACAATTGAATTTTTAAATTGTTGTAATTCTTTATAGTTATTCAAAACACAAAGACTTTTGTTTCTGTTAAATAAGGTCAGCATTGCAGCTTTGAAATTTTAGCTTTTAAAGGAGGATGATACTGGTGTGTTTTTTTAAATTGATCTTTTTAGAGCGAGAGGAAAGGAGAGACAGAGAGGAACATGGATTTGTTGTTCTACTTACTGATGCACTGATTGGTTGATTCTTGGATGTGCCCTGACCGGGGATCGAACCTGCAACTTGGCATATTGGGACGATTCTCTAACCAGCTGAGCTACCCTGCCAGGGCAATACCAGTTTGTTTTGATAGAAATTATACCACTGTGAGGGCATTGCTCAACATTTCTGGTTCTGAAATCCAGATAGCTTGATTTGACATGAGCTGGGGAACTCCATCTACAAAGTGAATGGATTGAGCTAGTTGAATTACCTGCAAGCACCTAGCCCTGTGTCTGCACATGCTAGGGATCCAGCAGTTGTTCATTGAACCTCAGACAATACCTAAGCCCCCAGGTATAAAATTCCCTTATTTAGAAGTTTAAAAACTTCTGGTTGGTCAAAAAGTCTGTTACATTTTTTCATATGCTGGCTCTAGTAATGCTTAGTTGTCTTTAACTTAATTTGAAACAATTTCGTTAGATTGTATTGTGATAGCTGTAAATGTATCAGCATGCATTTAAAAAAGCTAATCAAAATTGGTGAATGTACAGCCATTTTACTATTAAAGGTGGAAGAAGATATGCAACATTTTTGGTATATTATCCTTTATTATTTCAAGAAAGGTAAAAGTGCAAAAAAGATTTTTGCAGTGTATGAAGAAGGTGCTGTGACTGATCAAAGGTGTCAAAAATGGTTTGCGAAGTTTCTTGGTACTGTTGACATTTTGACCAAATAATTCTCTGCTGTGGGGCTGTTTTATGCATTGGAAGGCATTTAGCAGCACCCTGGGAATCGGGAAGCTAATAGTGGGAGATAGCAACATACTCAAAATACCCAAATCAGTAAAGTTATTGGTGACAATGAAAAGTGTGCCTTTTATTTTATGGAGAAACTAAACAGACTTTTTGGCCAACCCAATAAATGGTCTCATGTAAACCATTTATATATTAATGTTGTGGTGAGTTTAAAATTATGCACATAAACGTCCTCCTAATGTTCCTTTTCAAATTAAACTCATCAATTTTAAAAAGAATTGTGTTATATGTCAAGTACTGTATTTTGTTGTGTATAGTGTGTACTTTTTTTGCCCAGGGGTTTTTGAGGGAAAAATAAAGATGCTCATTATACATGGGTATAATGATTAAATA